CTGTTCAGTAGGGAATTTGAAATGTCAAAATCTAAATATTTTCATACAGAAAAATCACCCTTTTTGGATGAAATGCTACCCAAAAATATTTTTCCTACTTGCACTTATCCGGGGCATGAACATACTCTGGCAGTCTCTTTTTTCTCCCATGTCCTCATGACATTGCCTTCATCTCAGCCCATACCTGAGACACTTAAAGTTGGGCTTAGCTGGTCCACTGTTACAGTAATGCCTTCTACTTTAAGCAGGCAAAAAGCAGGAGCAATTTTGCTGTGGGGTGCAATCTGATATGTTTCAACCCAATTCATTCATTCATTCATTCAATCAATCAATCAATCAATCAATCAATTTATATAGCTGCCCATCTCACCACAGGTGACTCTGGGCGGCATACAACAAAGCTAAAAACAGTAAAATACATTAAAAATATATAAAACAACATAAAACAGAGAATAAAGGGAAGTTAAAAATAAGGGAGCCACCTCACTAATTCCACCGTCCCCTGGAATCCCCAGGCCTGCTGGCATAACCAAGTCTTGCTTCTATTTGGCACTTTAGGGTGGTATGTGTATGCTCCTTTTCTCTCCAGCTTTTGGATAGATCTTTCAGAGCTATTCTGCATTGGGCAGCAGGAAAGTCTGATTCTATCAAACTGGGCTCTCCTCTGTATCCCTGTGGGGGAGAGCCCATTTTCAAGACTTGGATGAGCCTATCTAGCAGCTGATCAGCAGTGAAAGCAGAAAGGCTGCAAAGTGATGCAGGAGAGAGCAAGAAAGAGAGAAGTTCTCTCTGCTGCTTTATGGTGAAACTTTCCCCGCACCTGTCAGCTGTTGTTTGGGCTGCTTTTGAATGTGTGTTTAGCACTCTTCCGGAAGAGCACTAAAGCCATGTCGAAAAGGAGACCAAGTATCAGTTGACAGTCAAGCTCCCTTTGAACACATCTATGCAAAATGTGTGTGCAGAATCAGAGCAGATATCAACAGAAGGCTAAACCGGTCTTGCTTCCTCCTCAAGCCCTAGCACCATCCCATGTTAAGCTGAGTGTTTGGCGAATGTTTTCATCCAGCTAGTGATGTTTGATGGGAGGGAGGGGGAAAACAGCTTAGGAAATCTTCCAGTCCCCATTTTAAAGTATCCAGGGTGTCATAAATAAAGAGAACACCATTTGCAGATATCGTGTCTGTTTCCAGGTTAGGTATTGCCAATGGAGGCATCAAATTTTGTGCCAGGACAGGTAGATAGCACTTTAACTTTGCCATGAGAAAAAGCCCAAAATTTGACCCAAGGACACAAGCAAAATGCAAAAAGAAATTTATCAGTGATTTTTAAAAATCCAGTATCTGGGCGATAAAATGTATTTGCTACCATAGGATTAAACTGTCAATTGTCCTAGCAGTTACTTTTCAAATTAAGACGCAAAAGAAGTTGGACTGTGCATGGAAATACATCAAATTAATAAATAAATTTACCATGAAAGGATAGTGAAGCTTAATCCAGACAAAACGTAAGTCTTTATATGTGTGTGACATGATAAAAGTTTTTAAAAGGTTCGGAAGAAGTCAAACTGCTGATAGTATTTTAGATTCAGAAAAACTGGAGTGATTAGTTAGCACTTTATGTAGCAAATATCTTTTTTTTCCAGCTTGTTTTCCCTTGAAAATGAATGCTTTTTGTATCAGTGGTTTTATTTGTTTATTTATTTTATTTTATTTCTCCACCGCCCGTCTCCCCCATGATAGGGGACTCTGGGCGGCTTACAAAGACATTAAAACTATAAATATATATAAAATGCATAA